ATCCACTTACTATCAGGTGGACTGTGTGCTCGTTCGTCACCCAATGCTATAAAAAATCGAAAAACGTTTCTAGTCCACCTTAGAGACCATCTTCTTCGGTCTGCTCGAACGTACTAGCATCTTCTGGTGATAACAACTGCTTACTTTTCAGATATTTTTTGAAGTAAAAACTTTTGAAGTCAAAACTTCTTTAGAATCTTTGTGTTTTGAAACTTGATAAAACGAGAAAGCGACACTAAAAAAGACAAACATATACATCTAAAGATTTTTTCTTGCTAGAGAATGAGATAGAACACAGTGTACAATGTATTCTATTATCTCGGTGTCCTAAGGCTGAGTGCTTGAACGCGTTGAGGGTGTAGCGCCTGCTAAAATCACACTGTAGCTATATTATGGTTGGCGAAAAATTCTGTCAGATCGGCCGGGGAACGACGACGTTCTCACAGAATACCAGAGTAAAATGGTATCTTTATGCGGTAGTGTTTCGTATGGTGAGTGAATATAATCGGAGAACCTTTTTACAGGTAACGAGACATTCTATCTTAGTCCTCATAATTGGCATCGCAACTGCGTTTTGATTCTTAATGGAAATATAGGTGTCTATGGGCTGTAGCATCCACTTACCATCTGGTGGACTGTTTGCCAAAAAGACATTATTCTTAAAAAAAATATTTGGCTAGCAGTTGGTAGTATACCATTTGAACATAAAGAAATATGAAAATAAATAAAAAAAGAAAAAAGGTAGTAGAAGTTTCGAAAAAAATTACATTTACTTATTAAAAAAAAACTTTTTCTTACGTTGAAGAAATAAATATATTAAATTTTATTTCATTGATGTCAAATATCCCGCTAAAATGAAGAAAAAAAACTAGTGATCGAATATATTGCCTGCACTTCATTTTGTTGCACATTACGGCACAATTCTACCTAGACCTGCTTCAGAGCATCGGTAAAGTTGTGCGGCAACAAAGACTATACTCCTCACGTGAAGATGTTCGTGTATTATCTCTTGAATGCATCTCGACCTAATCTGAAATATATGCAGAATTTCTTCATATGTAATTCGCAGCTGACAAAGGATGGCCACTTCTTCCTCCATCGCTTAAACTATATATATAACCAGCAGTACATTGTTGCCTTATAAGTCTTAACAAATGACATTTGAAGTCTATCAAACGATTCTTCCGGTTTAAGGTGACATTAAAAATTGAACAAAATTTCCCTGCGAAAATGTGCCTGACCCAGATCCATTTTTCTATAAAACAGAATATTTCAATTTAGCTCGTAAAAAAGTGGAGAGAAATATGAAACTGGGACGTTCGAATTTTTATTTTTAAATAATCGTACTTTCAAAATTAAATAAAACTGGCCACAAAACTTTGTGCGTGTCGTAAAATGAAACTACGAACGGGTGAGGTTACTTATCCTCAATTATCAATTTACGAACATAATTTCAACATTTAAGCATCCTTCTTCTTCATCATCAACTAGTAACGAACTCTTGTTATATGGAGGATATGCTTAGCAGACATAATGTCGATCATAGAACTGGATATGGTCGTCAGTCTATATATTTTATACCCGACTGCGGACTCGCTGCTGTACCACTACTTATCGTACCTACGCCGTGAGATTCCCCTGGCATTTTCTATTGAAATAGGTCACGCCGCCATCATATGGTGACTGAAATATTCTATCATACACAAACTGCCCATAACAATTGGATTTTCCAGGTGATTGAATTCAACCTGGGGTGCTTCCATATGTATAAGTATTGTTTGAAAGAATTAAAAACAGGAAAATATTAAAGTTTCGAAGTAATTAAAATCCAATTTTATAAATTCGCATTCGTTGAATGATAAACAGCAAAATATTGCGAAAAGAAAAAGCGTTCCGCGCTCATTAAAAGTTCAGTTAAAGGAAAATAACGGAAGAAATGCGACTGTCTACGAAACTAAAGTTCTAATGAATAATGCGAGAAGTTAAGCTTCAGATGGCTAAACGAATTCCAGTCTGCCATAAAATTCTTCATATTTTTCAATTTCAATTAGCTAAAAGTAGTTTGCAATACTGAAGATTGGTTTCCTTTTAACAAAGTTTTGTTATTTTCATAATTTTTTACTAAAATCAAGTATTTGGTAACACCATCAGTAAAAAACTATATTATGTGATACGAATTTGCTAATTTCATTAGTGTTTTAAAACTTGATCAGTTTCCCATTTCAAGTAAATTTACATATTTCAACCAAATGCATAAAAAGAAGGAGGTTCTCAATTCGACCGTATTTTTTAATTTTTTTTTCATGAGTTTATTCCAGAAAAATTTTCTGGGTGAACCTAGTTTCAAGATTCTTCTTCTATTTAAAATCTGGTGCTTCTTATGTGCTCCCATATAAATTTGATCAAGATCTGACCAGTAGTTTTTTAGTTGTCCTTGATAATGTGTTTTTAATTGACTTCGACTACATTGGTGAAGTTTTCATTTTATTTATATTGAAGTCGGTTGTACAATTTCTTTTATTTTACTATTCTTTGAATACTTAAACTACTTTTCTGGTGATTTCTTAAAACCTAGTGCTTGTAATATTATTTTTTTGAGAATAATATATAATTATACTTAATATGTTTATTTTGTCAACACTGGATTTTTTTCTATTGACTATAGCTCAGAACAATAACTAAAGCAATCTGTGATAGAAAATAAAACACTGCATTTTTACCATCACTCTTAGGTCTCTTCGAAAAATGTCGTTATTTTTGATACAACTGCCATCTATTTTTTATAGTGGCAACTTAAATATGATTCATAATAATATTATGAACATGAAAACTGAAATAGAAATTTTAGAAAAAAATATTAATATATAATAACATTATGACGTAAATTATAATTAAAACGAAATTTTATGCATAACCGACGATTTGTTTTAAATATTTAAATAGATATCTCATAAAAATTACACCACATTTTGAATGAAAGAGACTACATCTTAACAAATTTTATTGTAATGTCACCATTTTGTATTACTTTAAAAACATAATATTTTACATTGTAAAAATAAATAATTTAACTGACATAATCATTTCTATAACATTTTTTTAAACTGGTTTACTAGTTAGGACTCCTTTTTTTTCCTTTAAATCTGTCTGTGTAGGTCCTAAAAACCTCTTAACTACTCCGATTTTGATCCTCAGAGGTGAACACGCATCTGTAGTCTTATTTAAGTTGCTTGCAGGTATCCACAGGCAGTCAGTAAGTACAATTAGTAGTCACTTAACTACAATTAGTTTGTAAGTTAGCATATCAATTCAATTTTATAAGAAAATATCGTAATTAAGGTAATGTACTTGCATAATTGAATTTTACTGTACATATTTCGAAGCTAAAAAGGCAACCCGATACCTTTTATTTATTGGACCATGTAAACAAAAGTACATAGGGACCGGCCGTTCATAAATTGCAGGGTCGACATAAATTGTCCCCTCGATTAAGTATACATTGACCAAAACTGCCCCTCGTACTTTTGTTGGAAATGTAACTACTAACAACAATGTACTATGCAAATAACTGTTTGTATGAAATAAATCAAGGCAAAAGCTCGAAAACGACAAAATGAATTTATTTCAGTTACTTTTTTATAGGATTTAATGCCTCTATCATCTTAGTCAGTGGAGTCATGAAGTCGTGTAGTAGTGGTATTTTGCCATTTTGCACATTTATACAAATTAAAAAAATTGAAGTGTCTGTATGTTATGTCCAAATAACGTCTTTTTACTAAATGCATATGAAAGTAAATACGGTACCAATAACAAAAAAATATTATATGAAAGTAAATACGGTACTAGTAACAAAAAAAAATTGTTCGTCTCTCTGTCTGTTTGTTCCGGCTAATCTTCGAAACGGCTGAACTGATTTTGACGGGACCACTGATAGATAGCTGATGTCATAAGGAGTTATAACTTAGGCTACTTTTATTTTAGAAAAATTATTAGAGTTCCACGCAAAAAAATTAAACCCCATGAAATCTATTCGTTATAAATTCCACGCGGGCGAAGTCGCGGGGGACAGCTAGTATAATATATTATGACACGGTGGACGTTGACCGCTTTTTTCCGTAGGAGTTCACAGAGTAAATATAAAACAGTATTTGACATTGCAATCAAAATTTAGCATTTATTGGTAAGGATTAGGAATATTTTCTAATAAGTTTCGTGCCGTTGATATAACGTGGACTCACCATTTTGAGCTCAAGGCGCAAAAGCAAAGTAAAGTCTAGTAAAAATTATCCTTCCGTGTGCTTCCATTGGCAAGAGAGACGCCTCTATATTTTGAGATGTAGTAGATATTATGTACTTAACTTACGGAAAGAAAAATATCTGAGATTATTGTGCATTGATCAAAAAACTGTCCAACCAGTTAAAAAGATGACGAGATAAGTTGCCTGCCAGTTCCTTATCATCATGACTATCCTAATCACCTTCCTATCGGTCCCATAAAACCTTCACATCGGTCTAATGTTGCAGTGGCTTCCATCCAAACGGCTGGGTTTCAAATTTCAATTGATTCTACATATGTCATATTTTCCGGACCTAAGTTTTGGTCATTTTACCTTTTCACCAATTTAAAATTGAATTGTATGGTATTCTCGTAGGATTTAACATACATGACGGGGTTGTGTATATTATTTTTAGACAATTTAACAACTTTCAAAACGTTATTCAAGATATTTAAGGCTAAAAAGATGGTTACGTTGAAAAATAAAAACAATACTTAAGAAATTTATTTACTCTAGCTTCATTTCGCTTACAAAAACTTATTGTTAAACTTACCATAGATGTTATGTTATTATAGTAAGGTGATGAAAAAAATTAAATTTTAAACGAAACATTTCATCATAGCATTTCATTTATCTGTGGAAAATTAAATATATTAAATGTCAATTGTCAGAATTTGTCACTAAAAATGAACTTGTATCAAAAAAATTTTGAGTGCTAAAATAATGAATGTGTATTTTGTAAATTTTATGTTACTGGCACATTTTGAATTGTGTCAAAGTCGTCGATATGATAACTTTACACTATACAGTGCAACTCCCACGGAGCAATACCAATTGAATTTCTTGCAAAATTTACGTTCCGAAAAGTACATTGATGTAATATTCTGGAAGAAACCTTCGAAACTATTTAATGACGTCCATTTCATGGTCAATCCAATTGACTCAGAGCTATTCCAAGAGAGACTTGATCACTTTAGGTTGGAAGCACATACATTGATCCCAAATATTCAAAGGTAACCACTCTTGCTAACTAGAATAATAAAATAAATAATAGCTAAGAATTGAATTAAACACAATCTAATAGATTTGTCTTATATAAGGATCTATAAGCCAGAAAATTATTATTTTTATTTAATATTTTTTAATTTAGGGACTTACGTTGTTTTTAACATGTCAGTCCCATTGTACCTTATAACTAAATAACACACTACAATTTCTTAAATTATTTACACAAAATATTAACTAAATCATATACCATTTGAGCAGCATTAGACAATGGTTCAGACAGAATGCTTTGATATTCCCCTAGGTTACATATTTTAATATCAATTTTGGCAACTAATAGTTTCCTTTCATGATTATTTTTGGAACATTCCGCGAGCAAGTGCTGTACTAAACATCTTCTATTGTTTTGCATGTATCGCAATTTGTAGATTGTTTCTTTTTCATCATGAAAGCAAAGTTATTACACGGAATGTGTCCGGAACGAAGTCGCATTGCTAATACAATATATTTTCTATTCAACAGACATTGATTAAACCAAGGCACTTTCGGAGGCTGACTCTGGATGGTTTTGTACAAAAACCCTTTTTTTGCGATCTTTTATCAAAATATTCTTTGCAAAGTGTATAACCTTTTTTTATATTTAATTAAAATTTCTGAATAATCAGGGTAAATATTACATTCTCTTACTTGGATGATTGCCAATGTCGCCAGCTTATCAGCCTCCTCATTGCCCTGTAAACCGATTTGAGACGGTACCCACTGCAATACTAACTCACGGTTTTTACATTGAAGTTTCAATATTTCATTTAATATCGAATATGCTATCGATACACCTCTGAGACCAGAGACGCATCAAGCAATATGTTCAAGAGCACTCTTGCTATCAGTTAGAATGACTGTTTTTAGGAAATTTGTTGTACCAGCATGTAATAGGACATCATTTATAGCAATTAATTCAGCTGACATTATCGTAAAATTATTAGGAATTTTAATTTTACATTTGTTACCCAGCAATGAGTCGAAATAAGCGGCACCTACACCATATTTCTCTTTGGATCCATCACAGAAAATTTTGTGCCTTCCGAAATTTATTTATTTAATTAATTTATCTTATTTTAGCTCAGACAGCTTGCTTGACAATACTAAATTAACTGCTCACGCTTGAAACCATAAAACTCTGATGTAGCAGAAAAGGCCGCTTATTTTAAGTGTGAATATGCCGCTAATATGTCTATGCTGAATTAACTAGGGTCAAATATTACCAACACGTGATACCATCATACTTTATTATAGAATTAATAGCTTCGTTAGTCTTAGTGGTCGTAAACGCAACTGTCATGAGGTCTCAAGTTCAAATTTGTGCCAGGTTTACGGTAAAAAAATTCTCAGTAGTAGTCCGGAGTTGCGGGACGGACTGATCATTTTCATAAATTAATCCGTAATATTTCAAGTCTTAGTTTGAGCACTTATAGGATTAGTTCTTTGTCCAAAAGTGCGAAACTTTAGTGTAACAGTTACAAAATCTGTAATTAAGTAATAAAAAAAGATTTACTGAATTTTGTATTTTATTTGGGAAAAACAAGTAGGAAGTTTTTTTCTTTATTTTTTTTTATATTTCTGCAGTGCATTTGACTCTCAAAAAATCAAGAAGTACACGAGCCTTAAAATCGATTCATTTACCTGGGACTCCTATCACAGTTTAGAAGATATCTATCAATGGATATCCGATGTAGCTTTGAAATTTCCTAAAACAGTCGAGTTACACAGTATTGGAAAATCAGTTGAAGGGAGAGATATTTATGCAATATTTATAAAAACATCTAATAGTAAGGCAAACGTAGTCATTGATGCTGGTATTCACGGTCATGAATGGATATCAACGGCATTTGTAACGTTTTTAATTAAGAAGCTAATCTACGCTCAAGATATAGGAGATGAGCGACTCAATGAATTGGCAAACAAGTATAACTGGTTCATCATACCCATCGTTAATCCAGATGGTTTTGATTACAGCATTAAAGTTGTGAGTATTTTTTTCTTGATTTTTTTAGAATGAAGGTGACGAACGGTCACACAGTTCCATTGATAGTAAGTAGATGCTGTTGCCCGTAGACGTCTTCAATTATCCTTGATACTCGTCAACAACTACGAGATTAGTGCTCCCAACAACTACCGGTATAGGCACAGAAATATGAGTAATAAGGTAATAGAAGTCGTAAAAGCGCGTGACCTTGTTGCGTGACAAGGTCACAAGCGCGTGAGGAGCGTTTGTTTCAGTCACCAGTGTTGTTAATGCGTCGTTTCCAGTAAAAAGTATCTCTAGTTTCTCTGCACTCACCATACCATTGAGATGATACTGTAAAATTTTACGCCAGTATTCTATGAGAGAACGGTCTTACCCCGGACGAACCGAGATTCGACTCATTAGTGCTACAACCATAATATAACTACAACGTGTCTTTATAACGTATGAAATATTTTCAAGGTATACTATACCGTATTCTTTGTGGCTGCTCTGTTATCGCGTTACAAGTTTAAACGATCCAAATCATAAATTTCGCTATCGAAGTTTCAGAACAACTCTGAACATTAACAATGAGCATTGTTCTATCACACGAAGCGTTACTCGCTCTTCGAGATATATATGTCAAGTAGGAGATTTCTCCCTTTCTTAAATTCTTGTGGTTGCTTATGAGAATCCATCACGCCATAACATCGCTTCGTGGGTGTAATTCTTATAAGACTATACTGTACTAACGGAAATGCCGGTTTAAGCATTTCATATTTGTTAGGCTTTAAATACGTTTATAGGTATCGCGACCGCCCATCGGCCCGCTTATAATATATATATATATAGTTTTTTTTTTTGTTTTTATAACATGTTTTTTTTTTTTTGAAAAAAGTCCCGCTTCTTGCTGGTTCTTCCCAGGACAGAGTTTTTTTTGCGACCCAGTGGTAAATGAAAAAAGTGACTTTCATACTTTAAGTACTGTTTATAATCTACATTGAATAAAAAGGTTTCTATTTCTGTTTCAATTTACTTTCTTGGTTATTAGATGGAGTGACGATCTGACAAGGGATGCTTCTGGGAGTCGATGGATGTTAGATGTCAGAACTTGTTGCATTATATAGGGTAGGCCTATCACCTTGTGATATGGTGTAACGATGATGATGATAATTATTATTATTTCTTATATTTCCGCAAATACCACTACCCAAAATATAATATCTAATACACCAATAAACAATTAAACACATACGGATTACGGAGTTTCTTTTTTCTTTGCAATAATACATAAACAGTACCTCACCTTTATTCTAATGTTATGACTTACGAGCGTAATTTATTTTCAATTTTAGGATCGATTATGGCGAAAAAATAGAAGAAAATTTGACAATGGTGAAGGCGTTGATCTGAATCGAAATTTTGATCATAGTTTTGGAAGTAAGTCGCTTGTTAATATTTCGCCGTTTTATATTAAGGATTTATATCAACCGTCCCTATATGTTCGGAATTCTAAGCTTCGTTTTTGCGATTGTATACCCTCTGTGACCGATGCAATTTTCAAGCAATAAGATAAAATGAAATTAAATATAATATTTGCATAATATTTACCTTTAATGGACCAAGGGTGCGAGGAATCACCGTGAACAAAACCGACGACGAGGCTCGCCACCCGTCACATTCTGCCTGCCGGAAAGGCGATGATAAGTAGTTTGTGAAAGCTCGTTTTGCTACGCTCAATATATTTAGAGCGATGAACTATTGTATTGATGAAGTATACAAAATTACGTATGACAGAGGAATAGTTGTGTGTGTGGAATTGAGACTAAACGAAATGGAAAGGGTGCCACTGCATATAGTAAATATACGCTTACTTTTCTGGTGTAGAAAATAATGAGCGAGAATGTCAGGTAGCCGGTATTAAAGCCTTTCATAAAAAATTAAAAAGTGCGTGAAAAAATTTGGTTTATATAAATTATTTGGCCTTGGCGCTTACACCCCAGTCATGTCAAAATCCATTTATATCTAAGTACAGTGTTGGGAGATGGTAAGGGCAACTTTATTGAAATAAGAGAATGAAGAAATTATTATTGTGCTAGAAAATTTTAATAGAATAGTAGAGATGAAGAAATATTGGTATGGAAAGGTATTGGAAATGTTTGGTGATCAATGTATAAATGAGAATTTAAAAAGTCTATTCACGTTGTGTTTGTAAATAAACATTATTGTGACAAATACTTTCTTACGTCTTAAGAAAATTCGATATAAACATGGAAAAGGGTAAAATACAGCAGCATGTTTGTTTTTATAATGGTGAATATAGGGGTTTATCTGGGTTCTAACTACGGATCATTACTTGGTCGTATGTCAGATACATGGTCTGTTCAGAGGTTGACGGCATTTATCATTTGTGGCTATTGCTTCATTACAGTGCAACAGAAAGGTTACAAAAACATGTGCGAAAAAAGAGTATGAATGTAATTTGAGAAAAAAATATAATGATTTAAAATAAAAAAATTATAGACCCTTCGGTAAATGAAGCATATTCTATGATAAAATAAAAAAGAACATTAAAATATGGAGCTCATGGTTATTGCGATATAATTAATTTTTACAGTAATTATGACCTAACCCGCCCCCAAAAACAACACCGTTTCAGTATATTTAAAGGCAAACCAGAATTTCAAGAAAATATCGAGCATAGGCTCAAACTCAATAATGTGGAAATTTGAGCTTAGACCATACGATAGTACATAGCTATATTTGTTTTATGTTAAAAAATTTCAACTGGGATTCGCTCTTAAGAATTACTAAGTTCTAAATTACGTATTACACTAACCATCAGTTTAGCTTCCTATAATTTGCTCTAATAATGTCGCTATTGAAGTCAGCCTACGTAAATTAATCGTTAAACTAAACAAAACGTTGAATAAAACTATTATTTGCGGATTTTATCGCGTTTAATTACTACTTTAACTTATTTAAATTTTTATTATCCCGACGTTTCGAGTGCTTTACAGCAATCATGGTCACGGGGAGGGGGGGGACAGAGATGTTTAACGTCCCAATGTCAAAGTTAGTCCGGCTACCTTTAGTTTTTGAATATTAATCTAAATATTAAACTACAAATCCTCGCAAAAGAACACCGATTCCTACCAAGGATGATACGTGAGGCTATTGAAATTAAAAAAAAACATCAATAGAGAAAATGTATGGGTGCTGCCATCTGCTTGGAACCCTATAATTAACTAAATTAAACACAAACCCAAGCATACCACTGCAAGACTTCATGATACTATAAGCTCGTTTTGCGTCAATGGGACCAAAAAATAATATTCAAAAACTGAAGGTAGCCGGACTAACTATCACACTGGGACGTCAAACATTTCAGTCCCCCTGTAACCATGGGTGCTGTAAAGCACCCGAAACGGAATAACAAAAATAAAAAGAAGTTAAAGTAGTAATTAAACGGGATGAAATCCGTAAATAATAGTTTTATTCAATGTGTAGTGTTCGCGTAAATTTAAGAAATTATTAAGAAATCATTAAACAAAATGTTTTTTTTTACGTTTAATAGAATACGAAACGAGTACGAATCCCAAAGACGATAATTATTGTGGTCCTGCCCCCTTCTCTGAGCCGGAGTCGAGGGCTTTGTCCAACTTCATAACAGAGAAGCGTGAAAATTTGAAATTCTATATCTCTTTTCACGCATATGGACAAAAAATTATTATTCCATATGGCGATAGAGTCAAACACGTAGAAAATTTTTCGGAAATGGTAAGTCACAAGTAAGATTATTTTTTATTTTAAAATACTCATCATCATCATCATCATCATTACCTTCCCCCAAGGTATGCTACAAAGCACGGTCCGGAGCCACCTGCATCCATCAACTTCCTGCATGTTTTACCAGGTCGTCATTCCATCTATTTTAAAATACTATTTTTTGTCAATTTGGCAAAAAAGATCTGCTAATTGATAGAACCAGGCGTTACTTTGCGGAAATCCATTATAATAAAAATATTATTTGTAACCTTCCGCTAACTAGATACAATTACTTAGCGGTCAGCTGTCGTAGAGTCTACATCACATGAGGATGTCTCGTGTAGAGGCGAAACATGTGTCCTATTATCGTCGATGGTGTGTCTTACCTGGAATAGTGGTGTTGGAAGTAGTGGTGCCGGGAGTAGTGGTGTTGGGAGTAGTGGTGCTGGGATTAGTGATGATGGAGTTAGTGCATGCGATTGAGGGAGGGCGGGAGGTGCTCTTCAATCCAGGTAAGACAGCGGAAGGTTGCAAAATAATTAATATTTTTATTAAAAAAAGATCTGCAGCAGAATAAGTTTAACTAAAATATCATCAGGAGACTAAAGGCTAAGGGCTGGTCCTAAATCACAATGGACTGACAATTAACAACTTAAATAGCAACATTCTACTGGCAACTTCATTGTTGTGCTACCCGCATTTAAAGTAGTGGCAATCTGACAAAAGTGGACTTAGGTCGCTAAAGACCGTGCTTTGCTTTTTTTTAAATAATACATACATAAACACGCCTGTCCCCCAGGGGGAAGGCAGAGAATACAGACTTCCATTTGGTCGATCCTGATACACCTCTTTAGCGTCCTTCACATCCATATACCTACGCATACATTGTTTTTTTTACTGTCCTTAAAATCCTTAATACACGGTTTTTAATAATTACTATAACTAAAAATCTCAATCTCATACTTTTAAGAAATACAGCAGTATAAGTTTATGCATTCAATCATTTATTACATTCTATCAAAGTCCACTGCTGGGCATTGGCCTCCCACATAGATAGCCAATTGAGGTGGATACTTGCTATAGTTGCCTCGCTTGGTAGCTGGGTTGGCTATGACAGTTTTTTTAATGACTTGTATTTTTAGTTGGTTTTAAGAAGATGCTGCTCCACATCTCTTCCTTTGTTTCCATCTGTTTTTTATTACCCTTTTACAATAATATTTTTTTACAAGATAGGGTGACAAACGAGCACACAGTCTACCTGATGATAAGTGGTTGCTGTGGCCCATAGACATCTACATCAATCCTCGATTACGAATCAAAATACAGATGCGTTGTCACCCGTGAGGATCAAGATGGAATGGAGTAGTGGATGCTCTTATGCCGCCAATATACGACATAATCATATTTTTTGAGTTTATTTAAATATCATTGTTATTTTTTAATTTTTTAATAATAAACCCCGCAGACGTTATACTGTCAGTTAATGTGTTGTGTTCAGCAACGTTTTTTTTATTATATTTTTTTATAAACCTTCTCCATTAAAAAATACCAACATGCATGGTGATCGATCAAATCGATTTTGAGCTAAACGATTTCGTTTATACAAACATCCTCTTTTATATAATTTCATAAAAATGTACTACATTTTAGGATAATTATGGTAAGCAAGCAATATTACGAATGTACAAACTGAACGGCGTGAAATATAGTATTGGAACTACGTATGATACATTAGGTAAGAACAATCCATTTCTCTCAAGACTTAAACGATAAATTCCTGATACTAAAAGTAAATATACATATTGGTTTCTTATATTTATGCGACTACTACACTACATACTAAGAATGTAAGACATTGAATACTACACTACATGCTTAGAATGTAAGACATTGAATAACAATAATTTTGCGGATTTTATCGCGTTCAATTTTACTTATTTTTATCAAAAGGATTAATTAGCGATATTTTACAGGTATACGTGTATCAGGCAGTAGTCCGAGCTGGGTTAAAAATAATTACAAGACTAAGTAAGTGTTGCGAGTCTATTTTTTATTTTGGGCTTTATAACATATATGACTATTTAACTAGGAAACGGCTACTCACCATAATAAGTGATAAATTACAGTTATAAAGCTCGAAAAAAGTAAGAAAAATGAAATTAACCTAAAATATTATGGCCCACAATCGGGACACAAACTTTCCACTATTTTTGCCTTATTGCGTGTTGTCGGATTTCATGGTCTAAGGATTCTGTATTTAGCAGTAACGCAGGGATTTTTATGATTTTCAGCTTTACTGCATTTAGGGTGATGTATAGATGCAGTTTTAGTACTGAAATAAAATACAATTTAATGGCGCTCATTTATAAAATATGGTTGACAATACGATCTCATTAACAAATTTTGTGTCTACAATATAACAGAATAGAATTTACGTATGAAATAACATTTAGGAAAAGGATATCTCTAGAGCCATGCATTCCTCCAAAACTCACTATACGGTGTGTGACTTCAATGCAAAACTAGGCACCAGAGAGAAGGATGAGATGAAAGTTGGGAAATTCAGGATAGGGCAACGGAACTCGGGGGGCCAGCAGCTGGCCGACATCATGAAAAGAGAGAGAGAGAGACTCTTTATGATGAACTCTTTCTTCCAGAAGCGGCCTCATAGAAAGTGGACCTGGTCAATCTCAGATAGTTCGACGATAAACGAAATTGACTTCATTATGAAGACCAGACGACAACTGTTCAGTGATGTCTCAGTGATCGCAAGGATGAAAACTGACAGCGATCACCGAATGGTGAGAGGCACGCTGACCCTAAGCGTTACGTTGGAGAGTCCGAAACTCCGAAAACGTTCGGTACAATTCGTAAAATCATTTTCAGTCCCTAGAAGACTACAATGAAGAACACGATATGAATGACAAGCTTGTAAAAACTGTCCTTGCCGTCGCAGCTAAGTTCTGTAAGCCCCGTCGCAGAAGAACACAAAAACTCTCCAATCCAATCTTCAGCAGATTTGACAACGTAAATGCAACTGAACAGACAGATCTAAAAAATGTGTGCGGTAGTACTTACGCCACTTAAATACAGCTCGTATTTAAAGAAGCGATCGAGCGGAACTAGGGCTCCAAAGTCTTTTCCAGTTGAAACTAAAAACCGAATGTAGCAGCATGTTTTCTGGGACACCTTTAATTTTGTGTAAGATTGAGAGGTTCTATGGATAGTTGTACACGTGTCATCGTTGAAGTCATCCGCTAGTGTGAGTCTTATAAGATTAAGAATCAAAAAATCAAAAAAAATTAAGAATCTTATAAGTCTTATAAGAGCAAGTGTTATCCGACACTTCTCTGATGATATCATGGATGTCTGAGCAAGATTAAAATCTCTCTTCAGCACCTTAAAACAGTATTTCACCGAGCGAGGATGTAATTACAGCGAAGCTTCTGACAGCAGGTGGAAAACCCGTACTTTAAGTTCTTCAGAAGCTCTTTAAAATGTCCTCCATGGTAACTATACTCCGGAGGCGTGGAGCAGAATTGCACTGGTCTTATTTTTCAAGAAAGTCAACACAACACTCTCTTGAAGAACTACAGACCGATTTCCTTCTGAGCCGCGTCTACGTGGTGTTTTTGAGTGTCTTTACAAATTGCCTCGCATGCAAATCGAGTGTGTGACTTCCAGCCTTCCGCACAAGCTTGTTTATAAAAAGCCTTTAGCACCATAGACTACATACACAGAGGACCGAAGAATACAATCTGCTATTTTGCGTTGCATATGTGGACTATGAGAAAGCCTTTGATTCCGTCGAAATTTGGGCGGTTCTGCAGTCCTTTCAGCAATGCTAAGTCAAATGTCGGTATATTGAAGTGCTGAAGTGTTTGGAAAGTAGGACTAAGATGGCTATCTGAGTACAGACCCAGAGTACGAAACCTATGCAACTACAGAGAGGTGTAAGACGGGGTGACGTAATATTCGTGAAACTTTTCACAGCTGTATTGGAAGATATTTTCAAGCTTTTGACAGGAAAGAATACGGTATTAACGTCAATGACGAGTACATCACTCGCCTTCGATTTGTTCCTATAGACAAAACAAAAGTCATGTGTAACGTCCATGTTACACCTGTACCGGTAGTTGTACTGAGCACTAAGCTCGAGTTGTTGACGAGTATTTTTAGTGTTTACCTGGGACAAATAGTCCGACTAGGTAAGTCCAACTTCAACCGAAAGGTGAATCAACGGATAAAATCGGCTGGGGAGCATTCGGGAGATTATGACATATTTTCTCATCAAGCATACCTCAAAACTAGATTGTACAATCAGTGCGTGCTGCCATTGATGACATATAGATCTGAGACTAGATCCTTTACGTATGAGGAAGCTCGACGTCGAAGGATATACAAAGTAGGACCAGAGTAACTGACAAAGCCAGATTAGTAAACTGAAGTGGCAATGGCCCGGTCATATAGCTCGAATAACCGAAAACCGATGAGGAAGAAAGGTTTACGAGTGGCAGCCTTGTGCCGGCAGGCGAAGTGTGGGCGTCCCCCCACTAGATGGTGTGAAGACCTGGTAAGATATGCAGGATGTCAGTGGATGCAGGTGGCTCGGGACCGTGCTTTGTGGTGTTCCTTGGAGGAGGCCTATGTTCAGGAGTGAACTTGGAAGGGTTGTAATGATGAATGATAATAATAACATACTTACTTACTTACTTACTTACTTATCTTCACGCACAATCCCTAACGGCGTAGCCCGAGAGAACAGATCGCCAAGTGTCACGATCCTTACATACCTCTTTCGCTTCTTTCAGGTTCATTAACTTCTTCATACATGCACGTCTAGGTATCCGAGTACTCTTGACCCTCCCCTCTTCGAGCAATTTGCTCACGTGGTCTTCGAAAGTTAGTCTCGGTCTACCTCGACACCTTTTAATATTTACTTTCGCTCTATATATTTTCTTCACCATTCGGTCTTCACTCATTCGTTCAACGTGCCCAAACCATTGGAGTACGCCCCTATCAATTTTTGTGATAAGGTCATCTTTCAATCCTGCCATATTGCGAATCTCTTCGTTTCGCTTTCGGTCGGCTAAGGTAACGCCACACATTTTACGAAGAGATCGCATCTCCACTGCATTCAAATTACTTTTATGCTTCTTCTGGCATACCCAGGTTTCGCTGCCATATAACAAAGCCTTGCCTTTTTACTAATGCATTCAGGGCACCATTGACTTTGTTTCCGGCAGCGACACGCCTATCCACATCTAAATCACATCTTCCATCCCGGCTGAAAGCACTCCCCAAGTATACAATTTCATTTACCTGTTCTAGACATTTCTGATTTACCCATGATAACATTTGTGAGCCAAAATTGATATCATTTGCATAATTTATAAATGAAGCATTCAAATATAGAATATAATTTAAGATACATTATAATGAATATAACTTTAATTTAGAAAACTGTGTACATTTAGTTTATTTAATTAAAAAAAATAATATATAGAAACTACGAAAATAACATTAGAGCCATTTTCTTAAACTTTATCATTACAAAAATAAAAATTGCCATTCGCATGAACAAAAGATCTGATACGCTCATTAGTAAAGTGACCAACTGTAAGAATATATGATGGCATTTCTAATAAAATTAAAGTGGTTTAGATCATACATAGTATCTTAGTTTTATGTAACATAAAATGTTACATAAAATTAAGATCCGATGTCCATTTAGTATTTATCAACGAAAGGAAAGGACACGTGACATAAAGAAGGAGTTCGCAAGGAATTTAAGAAATGCAGGTGCAAGGCGTATAATACTTTTGTGGGACAGCTTAATGGGTTAAACAATAATAGCTATTGCAGACGAAAAGAGTCTTGGACTATTGGTCGCCTTACTCATGATCACTTTTTGATGTTCTATAACTCCATTGTCTCACAATTACAAATAATATATTGTGCAAATTTGACTTTAGTCGGTCCAGTCGTTCAGAAGATAAAGTATTACTTTCTGACGCAACAACGATATAATTTTATAAAGATAACGTTTTTAGCCTTATATTAATAAGATCCTAATATTATTATTATTTATATAAAAACTTTCCTGGCACACTAGGATTTTTTCCTATATCGTGAACACATTTAACATTCATAAAATGCATATTGTCAACATGATTAGAATCCGCGTCTCTACAAGGCTGCAGTCAGACACCTACAAAATGAAATTACTCTAACTTTTCGTAATTTTATGTAGGTATAAAAGCATATCTCCCATATCTTCTCTGGAGTATTGTAAGAGGCGAAGAAGGAAACTAAAACATAATAATTACGTGGTGACAGTGGCATGACCTCCTCCCGCTCCTATGATGCAATCCATGTTGAAACCTATGTTCAGCAGTGGTCTATAAGATGTAATGGATAAATGCTATCTCTTAGTTTACGTGATTTTTTTTATTTGTTACATTGTTTCAGATATGTCATAACATTTTTGTTACGAGACAATGGAACATACGGCTTTGCTTTGCCAAACGAACAGATAATACCAACCTGCCAAGAAACTTTAGTGGGACTGGTTGAACTGATGACTGCTAAGCCAAGACGCGTACGGATGGACTTATTAAACGCGTCACATAAAATAACCGCAAACATGATGCTATTAATCACATTATGCTTTTTGAAATAAAGCTTTTAATTATTTCATTATTTTAATATTAATGTAAGCGTTTTAATTTTAATTTTTATAAAATATGATTGTACTGAAGACCAAGAAGTAGGTACTATCTGTCACCTTGTGTTCTGCTATTTTTTATTGAATAAAGTTGAAAAACGAGCACAGAGTCCACCTGATGCTGTAAATCATATACATCTACATTTTTCCTCAATAAAGAATCAAAATGCAGATGCGTTGTCATCTCTCAGAACTAAGATGGAATGCCTTGCTTCCAGTTTAAAATGATCTCGTTCTCGACACTCATAATTCGAAACATAGGAGCGTTAAGCAGCTATTTTCGCTGGTATTATGTGTACGCGTAGTTCTACCCCGGTGGAGCTGACTCATTCGCGTTACAACCATAATATTTCTGCAGCGTGCCACACTACAACGCCAACTTTTATATGCGGACTATAAGACAGCCTTCTATTCCAACGAAATTTTGGCTGTGATAGAGTATGTAAGTACTACAGCGGTGCCAGATGACTGTATGTATATCTAGTGCTGAAGTGCTTATTCAATAAGACAACGAAAGTTATCTGCATACAGGACCAGAGTATGAAATCTTTCAACTGCAGAGAGTGCGTGTTTATGACTGAGTTACGTTGACGATACTTCGGGTATTGGACGCCATTTATAGTAGTTCTGGATAAAAGTTTCTTCGTATTTCTTTTGTATAAAATTGAAGAAAAATCTCTATGGTTGTACTGTATGTATCTGGTTGGTTTTAATACCAATATGTATATCAGATTAAGAAAAGAAAAATAAAAACTAGGCAAGTGCAAATCTGACTCACGCATGAAGGGTTAAGGTTTAATACTATGTAGGCACTTTTTTAATATTTATTTTTACAGCGAATATAGCTATACAAGCTCTGTGAGCATTTCAGACGTCTACTTGCTGTCATTATTAAGATCGAGGGAAAAAAGAAACACGTTTCTAGTAAGGTAGAAATACATATTCTGTGAAAATTTCAACTGTCTACCTATTACGAATTATGAGATACAGCCCCCTGACAGACAAACGGACGAACGGACGGACGAACGGTGGGCGGAGGCTTAGTAATAGGGTTCCGTCAGTTACCCTTCCGATAATTTGCCGCCATTTTTAACTGATTTTTCGTCCGCCAAAATAAGTGAATCTAACGAAGAAATTCAATACATTCTTAAGTTTTATTAACAAAAAGGGAAAATTGCGACTCAAGCCACGAAAAAAAATTGTGACATTTAGGGCCTGCGCTCACAGACGGCACGACATGGCACGGCGTGGCAAGGCACACTTCGGTATACCGAACAATACTGTGGCATCTGGCGTCATGCCGAAGGATCTTGTGGGAACCCGCATGCCAAACAAGTCAAAACGCCGCAACGGGCTGCATTCAACCTGCAACCAACCATATTCCTTTAACAACATGAAGTAAACCATGTGTTTCATGTGATGCCGTGGCATCCCATGGAATGCCGTGACATGCCGCGGTTTCTCATGGAATGCCGCGACGTGCTGCAGCATTGCGGGGAATAACGTAACGTGTGACAGCATGCCGCAGTGTCACGTGAGACGTTTCGGTCTATTCGTGTTGAAATAAAGGAATTTCAGTGCTAATTTCAATAAAAAAAATCCTTTGACACGCCGTGCCATGCCATGCCGTTTGTGAGCGCATGCGCCCTTGTGGATTTAATGCAGTGTCAGTAAGATTAGAACAAAGTTGGTTCAAGAGTTTTCAAACTAAATGTAGGAAAAACCTCCATCTAGTGAGGGTCTGTCGTGGTGACTCAGGATCGTGTCAGGGAAGCCCATGTGCAATGGGCAATTGGGCAATGATAATGATGATGATTTTGACATTTATTATTGTTGTGATCTTTGCTGCATAATACATATTAGATTTTTGAATAAAATCTAAGTAGTTAAAAATAATAACAAAAACTATTCGCCCTAATCATACTACGCTAATAATCTGAGTTCTAATCCCCACCATCGGTGACAACATCGTGTCGGAACATGCATAACCGAGACAAATAAGTTGTTTATATAACACTATATATTATCCCTTTTTACATTATGTATTTCATTACGAAATCTAGATTTATTTAAATTTGAAGATTTTATCCGTCGAACAAAGTTGCTGAAAGGCAAGTTGTCAAAAAGTTGAAGCTTGAAAGACTAAGTAGTGACACCACCTCTTTCGTCTACCTATCAGTATTCACTTAAAACTTATTAAACTTTCCCTAAATAAAGCCTCCACAGTAACTTGAAACAAACATTTACTGAAGAGATGCATGTGATCCGTACTCTCGTCTAAGCTGTAATACGAAATACAAAGGAAAATGCCGCAACGTGTAGTGGACTTGTGGTTATGGATCTATATTTAAAATGTTTTAATTAGTAAATATATACGCGCCATTGTTAAGCGTTTGATTTTCAAACAAGACAAGCATTTTTATCATTCACATTACTCCTAGCAAGTCTCGGATTTATGCAAATATCATAAATCCGAGACTTGCTCGGAGGCTTCGGCTTATATTATATATAAAAGCAGGTAGCCTTAACAAGTGGACTTTATTGTCGACTTGTAAAGGCTACCCACTCACATTAAATCGGTTACACTCGTATTGTTTAGTTACAGACACTATGACGTAAGAAAGCACATTAATATTGTAGAGAAACATTAATTAAATAAGCAGGATACATACTTGTTAAGTTTTGCAGTACGTTTTATCAAAAATAAATACCAATGAAAATTTTTTATCGCCCCGTTCGTTAGTATGTGCCCAATTATATCGAGACGAACTTGACAATATTTTTAAAATTTAGAAAACATGATTTTGATTTTAAAATTTCTGAAAATACAATTGTAATAGACATAAAGATTTATTTTTGGTCGTAGTCCAATCTCATTGCATATTGCTTAAAACCAACGTTACGAGTACCGTAACATTATATAATATGTTGATTCCGTGTCCATTTCTGCATCACATCACTCATATAATTAAGCTTTTTTATTTATAAAATCATTGTTTTATTACTTTTTGTTTTAGAATAAATGCTTGTATTTTGTCTATTTTTGAATTATTTCTCTACACATTAGTTCCAAACCTACTTGATAACAGAAAACAAACACATATTATTTTTATTCATCATAAATTGCACTTTTGGTAGTAATATCTATGTATAGTATTAATTTCATCGATACCCTCAACTATTTTTTTAAATATAGTGACTAGAGCTTTCCACCTCATACTAATGGCCAGTTCGTGAACACCTGCAATAAACTTAAATAACGAAAGCTACAGATGCGTTGTTATCTTAATTAAAATGAAATGCCTTACATTCTAACCTGTAATAATAAACTCCATGGTTGAAATACAGCAAAAATGTTGTTAATTTGACCGTCAACATTTTAAATACCGATTTACCACGTGCTCGGAGATATATGACCTGCATGTCAATATTTCGAGGTCAGTAAAGTCCGGAAATTTATCGACCAAATTGGCGATATATTGGCGATGAGAAAAATTAAGAGCACTTTCAGTCGACAAGCATGCATGTGCGTTGATATATCGAGGTAAAAGAATTGAGAAAGGTGTGTCAGGATCGTACCGAATGAATTTCCGTAGTGTTTGCTTGCCCCTCTGTGGGACGGGTGGTAGATTTTATGTATGTATAAAGAGGCGAATGCACATTTTAGGTTGCTACTTTATTATTTTCATAAAATTCGCTCTTCAGCCGTCTGCGTCTATTAGCTTCAGGCATATCATATACTAGGATCGTAACTCAATATGGTGAAGAGCCGAACTACATACTGATTACACGAACGAGGGTGCCATTAAAGAACCTTTCTTCTTAACGGTTGTCGACTATTCAATCTTACTATATATACGTATGGCCAGCAGAATACCACTTTAGTTTACAGACCCACTGGTTCTACTGCAGACATAAACAAAACAGACTACCGGCGCGACGCGGCGATCCAGAATGTCTTTTTCCTGTATTTCTCTATGACTGCAGAGTGCAGATATCTTTCTTAGGTATTCTACTTTTACTAAATGAGATGGCCAAAATGTGCTCCAAGCTGTACAAAAATAAGACTATTGCTATTAATTTAAATTAAATAAAAAAAGAATTTTGAATAACTATAACATAGTTAATAATAAAGTTTAAAAGTATTTAAAGTGATTTCTTTTCTATGAAGTCACTCTATAGCACCTTTAATGTGGCCATATAATACTTAAAAAGATCAGAGTAGGGAAAAAACAATAGCTATACTCATAAAAACACCTTATTTATCATATATTATATATAAAAACAAGCCTTCAAATAATGAATTAATACATCAAAATAACCAAAATACACTTAAGGGTAGGATATTGATCTATTTGTTTAATACAGCAACAGCTTAAACATGTAGCGTTACATTATATGATAGGGTTATTTTACTTTAGTACTTGCAACACTGAATCCATCCGTCAAGCATCAAAACAGTCAAAGTGTCAATGTCAGACTTGATCTGATTCACGTTTACCGACTTAAGCGCCGTTTCTCGGTTTATGATATATGTACGCTCTTTTTTCCACTAATTATAAACGGTGTAATACGTAAGTTTAATTATTTTCTGTCTAATATACTTCGATCAATAATAGTTATGTTTCAAAAACTAGTTACAAATAATAATTACAAATAAAATCAACTGAGAGCTGAGAAGATACTAAACCACAGATTACTTTATAATTTAAAATCTTAGCAGAAAATCATAAATCAAGAATACATAATGAAGATTTAAACCTTAAATCTGGTTCGAATACGAGTCATGTCAATTTGACATATTTGACACATACACAAAATATTTAAAAAATCATTTTTCTACGGATGTAGGTAATTTCCAAAGGTAAATTTATAAAGGTGCGTTGATGGCATCACTCATAGTGATCGTTTATTTATTACTTACGCCATATGTGAGATGTGTGCATAGAAAATACAACAACTACACATTATTTAGCGCTATACCAATAAATGATAAACAATTAAACTTTTTCAAGAATCTACCATTATCATATGATGTTAATTTTTGGAGGCCACCAGGAGAGGTTAACAAAACAATTGATGTGGCCGTATCACCTGAGTGTAAACTAGCTTTTATAAAAGATGCTGAACAATCGGATATTTATTTAATAACAATCATGAAAGATATACAAAGGTTAGTAGCATTTATAATTAAAAATAGTAATAATTTTGAAGTGTTTGCTCAACAAGATAAAATCTTAACAAAATAAGGCAGGTTATTACAGTTGCTTTATTTCAGTCCTTTGTTAACGTTGATGGTTAACGCTCGCTTTAATATAACAGAACGCGAGTAACCCGGGTTCGATCCCCGCCGGCACCAATGAAATTGTTGATTGTAATTTTAAGTGCTGATTTACCACGTGCTCGGCGGTGAAGAAAAACATCGTGAGGAAACCTGCATGTCGAAGGAATAAAAATAAAAGATTTCGAATACATGTGAAGTTCGCCAACACGCATTGGGGTAGCGCTGCGGACACTTCCTTGCCCTAAAACCCTCTCAGAAATAAGGGGATGCCTGTGCCCATCAGTGGGACGAATATAGGCTGTAACTTTACTACCTGTTCGCTCGACAGTGATACAAAGTGACTAACACAACGCCCTCCGCCCGCTCGGCAATGGTACATTACATTAATACCACACATAATTTATGAGGGCGAACCCGACAAAAAAGTTTTGTCATTAAAAATTATAACAAATTTATACTAAAATATATAATACAGACATAGAAAAAGACATACTCTTTAATTTGGTACCATAATCTGCCAATTTCGAACTAAAAATAGACATAAAAATCATTCTCACGTAATGGCTTTTTACAACAGTAGTGCGTGAGCTATTTCTGAGTGATTTCTCAGTTTTATACTTTTGTGTGTTCCTTGTAATAAAACAAATAGGTAGATAATGCCACAAATGCCACAAATTATATAATATTAAAATTATATAATTATATAAAAAGTGAAAAGTAAGTGCCAAAGTACTTCGAAATCGAGAAGGCCCATTTTAGCGGTTGGGTCAAAAAAGTGTTATTTTTCCAATTCTCATTTATTTTTAGTCCTAAAATGTAACTAAAAAATAGTTTTATAACATATTTCAAATAACTTGACGTTGTATTTATTTCAAATTCACACAATAATATATTTGAAATATTATTCGGAAATCTCATACAGATAAAAATTAATTTCGTTTTTTTCTATTTTTATATTTTGGTATGAGTAACGAATAGAAACACATAAAACATAAAAATATACATATTTCCAAACATTTTCATATAGATTTCCAAAAACAAACATGTAGAATTCAAATTAGTAGTAATTTTAGACTAAAAGTGAAGTATCTACTACTACTATGTTATAAAGGGTAATTTATGAATTTTATTACAATTTCTAGCAACTAAAAATAATTTTATTTATAGTTTTATCCATAAATATTGTCTCAAAGTGAAAATATTGCAAAATTTGCAAGTTAGCAAAAAATTTGCAATTTCCGCCATTTTACGTCGCAAGCCAACCGGCGTATCGAATAAAGTCACCTTTCGAACATACAGGTAAACCAAATAACACACGTGTATGATATATGTCATAGCTATACTCCATAGTCACTCCGTTGTAACTCCCAAAGACTATGATGATGATGGCATATGCAGTGCAGCATAATTATTCTGCTATTTTACGCTGGTGTTATATGTGATCGTAATCCTTACTTGATCCAGTAGACTCATATGTATTGCAGCCTTAATAACTAGTCTAAAGTAAGTCTAACTTCGATAAAGGGTCATTCAACGAATCGAACTTGGCTGGCCAGCTATCTGGAAATTACGATAATATCGACATCAGTTAGACGGCGGGACTTTTTTTCTTCCTAAGAGTCCATCTAAGGAAGGTATCACACTTACCTATTTCCACGTCAAATAGCAGTGCTTGCACTGTTAGTTCCGGTCTGAGGGGTATTGAGGGCCAGTATGATTACAAGCTGTAAAGCATACCGCCTAAGTCCTCAGAAATGACAATGTATCGTAGCCTTCTTTGTTTAAAGTTGGTTAGTGATGTCCATGGGCTACAGTCACCACTTACCATCAGCTTGACTAAAAGTTTGTTTGTCACTTAATATTTTTTTAAATGGTCGCCACTTACTACCAGATAAACAACATATGAGGTTTTTTATAGAATAAGGGTGACAAACGAGCACACAGTTCATGAGAGATCAAATGGTAAGTGGATGCTGTGGCCCATAGAAATCTACATTTGTACCACACATTTATATTTAGCAAACTCTGCAATCTACTTCCATTGCCGCGCGTCACGTGTATTTAATTTTACTTATAATAATGCAATATTACAATAGAGAGTACGTCAACAACCGTCCTACTGAACAGTAACTACGTACTCGAGGAAAGATTTGCCAAAGTAATATTATAAATATTTTACTTGTCAATGAACTTTAAACTTCTTTTCCTTTTGACCTGCTCATCAACTAATTACAACTCTACTTGTTGAAAAAATAAAAACCATGTAACATTTATCCTCGATTAAGAATCAAAACGCAGATGTGTTGTCACCCCTGAGGACTAAAATGGAATGCCTCGTTTCCAGTAATAAAAGGTCTCCGGATCTCTACGTTCACCATACAAAACACACCAGTATTAAGCTGCTATTTTACGCTGGTATTCTGTGAGAGCGTGGTCTTTCCTCGGTCGATCAGACCCATTCGTGCTACAACCATAATGTAGCTGCACCCTTTCTGACATAAAATATCGTAAAATCATATTAATAGCTTTTTGATGCAAAAATCTTCACAAGAAACTGTTTTTATTTCACTTTCATAAATTACTTTTCAGTGTTTTTGATATGCAAACTGTTAAAACGTATATAAGAAGAAAAATGGATATATTTGACTGGCGCAGCTATTTTAAAACAAACGACATTTACAAATGGCTTCACGATTTAAGCAATAACTATCCTCAAGAGGTTCACTTAGAGAGTATTGGCAAGACTTATGAAAATCAGGATATAATGGCAGTAACAATTGTTTTAGGAGAAAATAAGAAGTAGGTGTTAAAAGTATTAATAGAAGTAGGTAATAGAGTAAATAGAGAGATTTAAGAAAACGATATAAACATTAAATTTGTAAATATAGCTGATAATAAACGACAAGCGGTCTGACCTAACGTTGCCTGGGTAGAATCTAATATTATGGCGTTTTTTTTTAGATTTGAAATACAGTTTATGCTGCTTATTCGCGTATATCTTATTCTCTAATTCAGTACCTACTTGCGTAAGAAATAAATTTAGACCATTTTCTACATTCGCGGTCTAAAATGTCTTAATTCATGGTTAAGTTTCTTACGGATATACATCTTACTCTTATCACTTACAATGTAACAAAAGAGATAATATTCATTTTTCAACATTCAACGTTTTTAGCACTTACATAATATGAAAACTTAGAAGTAGACGTCCAAGTACGTACAAAGTTAATTAAATATAATTGGTGTTAAGACCAAAGTTCTTTGATAAAAGTTGACTTGATAAAAGTTGGCTATAACCTTAGACGTTCCGCAAAATCTACGATATCGCTACCGCTGAGTTGCACGTGCTGTTTTAGGATTTGATGTGTGCCGCCGTTGCTGCAATCGTGCTTGTTTAATCATAATCATTAAGTAATTTACAGACAGAAAAAAAATGTGTTGCCACTTAAAGTAACGGTAGAAATGTCGTTACGCTTTAGTGAGTCATTTGCATCCATAGTTTGCTCGTTTGTAGTCAAAGAATGAATTGTTGGATCATTCAAGAAATTCGATCTGAGTGCACTCGCTTATAGCCCAGTGCCAAAACTATCGGGATTATACATTCGTTTTTTGCTGCTTGCCAACTCTTATCTTGAGTTTCTAGCTCTACTCGCTTCTCATTCATTGGTGGCGTAGGGAGAAGGGTCATATTTTATGTATCAATTACGTATTTGATTTGTGATTTAACTTATTTTATTTACTTTATTTTCCTTTGGAACCCAGCCCTACGTTTACATTCAAATCATCATTCATATTCTTCGTTTCCGTATTTGCGGCATATATTTGAAACATATACCCCGGGAATAAGGTGCTCTTACTCTAATCATAGATCTTATTCTATAAAATTAAAAAAGATACTAATAATGGTTCTTCATCAGTCCGTAATAGTTCTCAGCTGAACTAGGATAACCAATTATTGCGACGATTATTCACGTCAAACCCTTTAATTAGAGGTAAACGCCACGCTTGCTAGTCGGTATATGTATGCATAATAAATACAGGTGACATCAGATAATTAGCCTTTTACAGATATTAATCGTATGGTCGCGGTGTAAGTTTGTCCACTACCCCATATTACGCTGTAGGTGTCGTAAGTGGCAACAGCGTGTAACTGACACATAAAAAAATAGCAGCATCTACTGCTATTTTTTTGTGTCAGTTACACGCTGTTGCCACTATACTACATCTCTATAAATTAAAATTAAAAAAAAATCGGTTGCTAACTCGCCTGTTAAGCGTGGCAACTATGGTAAAATTACCCCCATGAGCTAATTTGTTTGCGAGTCCAATGTTCAGCAGTTGAATTTTATACAGTAATGAGTAATGGAAAAAAAATACAAAAATTCTAAATTACTGCGTGATCTCACGGAGCACCAGCTTAAAGTAGGAGCTTAATGCTGCTGTGTTTAGTATGGTGAATGTAGAGAACCAGAGACCCTTTGTACTGGAAACGAGGCATTCCATCTCAGTCGTCAGGGATAACAATACATCTGCATTTCGATGCTTGATTGAGAATAAATGTAGATATTTATGGGCTAAAGCATTCATTTACCATCAGGTGGACTATGTCCAGGTTTGTGACCCATATTCTATATAACCTTGTTTGATAAGTTCGCCCAGATTGGCGGTAGCAGCGATCTGGTCATTCTGCTTCTGTTATATATCTATCCTAGATTTCTAGCCTATTTGCATTATTATTCTAGACATGTTTATATTAGTGTTTACAGACCCAGAGTAATAATAGAAGGTGGAATTCACGCTAGAGAGTGGATCTCTCCAGCCTTTGTAACCTACATGATGCAGCAAATCGTACATTCTCCTTCATCAAATAACAGTGAATTGAAAAAAATTGCTCAGGCTTACGAGTGGTATTTCGTGCCGATTTTGAATCCTGATGGCTACGAAATTACCCACACATCGGTTGGTTTTTTCGACATTTGGTAGGTTATATAAGATTTCATCGGTATCATCAACATCATCATTACATGCAATCTTAAGTCTACTGTTGTACATAGGCATTAGTACTTAGCAGTGTCAGATCTTCCAGTATCCAACAGCACACTGCATACCTCATCAGTTCTATATCCTTTACTACATGCACTGGACTAATATGATTAAAGTATAATTGTAAAATACCGCGTAGCTGCAGTGTATTAAAATAACTCCTCCACCCCAATATACTACAATTACTCCAATTTACCACACCATATCGTTCAGGGTGTCGTAACAGGCGACAGGGGAAACAAACCAAGGGATGTGCAGCAACGTTTTCTTAAAAACAAGTAAAAAATAAAAACTCTGAAGTTTCCCCGCATGGCAAGCGTGGCAATATAGTTGTCTAATAGCACATATCACCCTATGAGGCAGTCAATTGGGAAATCAGCTTGATCAGGGTTTTGATATGTGATGGTGACGTTGTAATGCACTACTTTTTTCCTCAAGACTGTTACATAATTATAGTAATATTACAAAATCATTCAAAGTAGCATCCCTTATAAAAGTCCTCCTGGTAGAAAGTGTTCTCCTTTCACCACGCTTGGCAAGCAGATAGACGATCACAGCACCTGACATTTTGCACCCATGTCACTGCTCCCCGTCGCCTGTCTGATTATTTTACGTTTGACTTGAAAGAGTTGATTACACCGCCATCTATCGGAAACCATAGTGTTTTCTGGCCCTTGCTGAAGTCGCCTCTTACAATAGCTAAGGTACGAAAAGTGCGGTGGATATTTTAACGCATTAAGTTTAATTCTAATAAAATCTAGATGACTACATAGCACAAGATAAAGTAGAGCGTCCTTATATTGTTAGTTTAGGCAACGCATTTTGATTTTAATATATAAGATTACACTATTACATACTTTAGAATACCAAAAACATATAATACTTACTTTATACGTTTTTAGAGTTGCGGTACCTCAGGGTAACACTACCACTCGCTGTAAATAAGAAAGTGCGTGAGAAGGCCATTTTGAAACTCCGCCGGCACCAATTAAATTAATAATTGCATTTTTAAATGCTGACTTGCCACGTTATCGTTACCGTTACCGTTACAGTATATAAAAGTTATTGCTGAACAGATATATTGAGAGATAGACAGATTGCATCACAAGGAGATATTGGCCGTAACTGTCACGCTTTGCAGGCGAGTTGGCAACTGTGGTGTGTTTGGTAGTTATTAGGAAGACACTACTGCCCATCTCCTGGTTTGATTCCCTCTGTCGCCTCTTAAGACACCCATGAGACAATATGAGGTACTGGATAATTCTTAAGCTGGCAGTATAAAGTCGATTTACCTTGTGCTCCGCGGTGAATGAAAATAATGTGAAGAATAAAATTATTTGGAAGACCTGTGAAGTCACTGGAGCACTGAGCAGACTAATTGCTTCATAACCCTCTCAGAAATCGTAGTAGACTTGTGCCCATAAATGAGACGTATATAGGCTGTAACTTGACTATTTTTATTCTTAAACAAACTGTTCACATGTGTTGTTGTTTTCATTACAGGACAGATTATGGCGAAAGAATAGTAGAGGTGTTGATTTAAATAGGAATTTTGAGATCGAGTTTGGAAGTGAGTTTAATGAAATTCAACAGGATTGATTGTTCTTTTAATAATTATAATGACGAATGAGCAAAGCAGACACTTTGTCTAAATTTAAAAACTACATTTTGTTACACTAAAGTTTGACATATGCAATGGATTGTAAATATAGAAATCTACAATAAATTGTTTCTTACCCAAATGAAATCTTCAGGAAAAAACATTATAACATGTGAATGTGTGCATTTAATATTTTAATCCCACACCACATATGTAAATAGCGGTCCAAGTTGTTTAAAAACGATGTTCGGGGTTGTAGACCTGAACGGGCGCCAAGCTTCATAGCAACAGCATTTATTGAGTTCTTGGAACTGCTAATTTACACAGTTCTGATACGGTTAATTTTAAGTTTCAACACCAAATATCAAGAATTTGTAATTATTTATTTCCAACTTCAAAAAAAGGAGGTCTACAATTCAACTATATGTTTTTTGTATGGTACGCGACATTTTAGTCAATTCTGAATCGGTTTTGACTATTATTTTTTTAAATAAGTTAAACTATATAAGTGGTGCAATATTACACATTTTGAGTAAATAGAATAAGTATAGCAAAATAGGAGAAGTTTATAATATAACTATTTAAACGACATTAAGTTATTATTAGTCCAACAAAAGGGTGGAAAAAACCTTCAGAATGAGAAATTATTTTTTTAGTTTTAGTTGTTTGAAGTTGACTTTTAATTTTTAAAGTTTTATTTTCTTCATGCCAAACTTCTTGGCAAGCTAAAAGTGGTGTATTCATTAAGTGATGAAAAGTGCACTTTCGAACTTTTATAACTCAAGCTTTTTAAAAAAAACCTTTTCTTAAAATTTAAAATTTAAGGTATTCAGAGGGTCCATATTAGTTAAACAAAACTAAAAGTGTGTACGTTCAATAGCTTTTGGGTTATGGAGCTTCGAAAGTGGCTTGGAATTGTTAGTGCAAATATGCGCACTGCCCGTGCGGCACCCTATTTTTTCGAACTTAGCTGACACAATATTTGTAGCTGGTTACAAACTTTATATTTTCATTTTCGGCTTTTAAGGCATCGGTGTTAGCTCTAACAAATTGGATGAAACATACTGTGGAGAAAATGCATTTTCTGAACGGGAAAGTTCAGCCATGGCTTCTTATGTGCGTTCGAAGAGTGACAGATTGGAGTATTACTTGGCATTTCACTCATATGGTCAATGCATGATCATACCTTACGCTTATGCAAAAACACATATGGATAATTTCGATGAAGTGGTAAACACGCATTAATGTATTAATTTTACACGTGGTAGAGGCACGCTGCATTTATATTTTGGTTGTACCATGAATAGGTCGACTCAACCGGGGTAAGACCACGCTTTCACAAAACACCAGCGTGAATCAGCAGCTTAATGCTGCTGCATTTCGTATTGTGATTGCAGAGAGCAGAGAAGCATTTTTACTAGAAACATTCTTGGAACAAACAAAAGAAACAACTTGGAAGCATTACATCTTAGTCCTCTGGGCTGACAACTCATCTGAATTTCGATTCTTAATTGAGGTTAAAGGTAGATGGATATATAGGCCACAGCTTCTTTGTGCTGGTTTGTTTCCTTTATTCTTTTTTTTTTCTATAGAATAGGGTGACAAACGAGCATACAGTCCACCTGATGGAAAGTGGTTGCTGCGGCCCATAGACACCTACATCTATCCTCCATTAAAAATCAAAATGCAGATGCGTTGTCACCCGTGAGGACTGAGATGGAATGCCTCGTTTCCAGTAAAAAGGGTCTCCGGTTCTCTACACTCACCATACGAAATACAGCAGCATTCAGCTACTATTTCACGCTGGTATTCTGTGAGAGCGTGGTCCTGCCTCGGTCGAGCCGACCCATTCGTGCTACAACTATACTACTAATATAACTGCAGCATGGCTTTACCACGTCATTATTAACTCGTAAGCTATCCACCAAATAAATAGACATTAATTTCCTACATCCTCCTCGTCTAGTGGCGCGCTACGCTCGCTCGGCTCGTTATGAATAATCTATACACGTAACCTATATATATATCATAAATCTCTAGAAAAGTCGTATCTGTAATTATTCTAATATTTACTGGAAAAACAAGCCCAGGGGACTAAATAAAGGGCACTCAAGCCAAATCAGTGGTTTTTAGAATTTTTGTCTGTCTGTCTGTCTGTCTGTGTATTAAAGATTCACGCAAAAACTACTAAACAGATTTTCATGAAATTTTGTGTATGTTAGGGACGCTAAAAAGAAGGATAAAAAGTAGCCTTTAAATAGCACACTTAAAGGCTACTTTTTATCCGATTACAGAACCTCAAAAAAGGAGGGTTAAGTATCTTCCTTCCTTTAGATGTTAATTTCTATTTTATACGATTGATGTGTTTTATGAAATTAAAAAATACATGTGGCACTCGGTGACTGCCGCGGTAAAGCTATTGCATAGCATTTTTTATCAACTTATGCAATTATAATTATTTATTTATGTAGTTAAGTCTTTGATATTAAATCAAGTTACACTTTTTGAGCGTGGTGACCGATAAGAAAACAATTTTTTTTTCTCTTATTGAATAAATGAGAAGTTAATATTGTTTAAAATATTTTTAATATCTTACAATACATGTAGGTTATTCAGGAATTTTTGTCATTGAGTTAGCAGCTAGTGTACACGCACACAAACACCGCGCCGAAGTCTGCCGAGTGCCGAAGTCTGCCGAACTGAAACGACGTTAGACGATGCGAGCGTGAGGTTTTTTTTCGTTACGGAATTTCTGGATTCGGTCCCCGCGCTCAAGGCCCGCGATAGAAGCTATGCAATAGCTTAATAAAATATTTATAAAGCCAAAAATAAGATTTAACCGTTGTGTAATAAATTGAACTAGGCCGATAACCTACGATATTATTTTTGTATTCACATTTTCAAGACAGTGCCATCTAACGTAAAATAGTTGTGACATATTGCCTCATTTGTCATTTTAAAGTTATATAATTAAATTTTTAATTGGTTTTAAAATTCTTATGTACATTTTTGGTTTTGTTATTTCATTTAGTAGATATAAATAAATTTTATAGTACCTAATTACTATTTAAATAGTTAGTAGTGACATGTATCCAATTTCGCAAAATTAAGGATATTTCTAAGTTTCATTTCTAATCTTTAAAAAATTTTAGTACGCATTAGTTTTTTTATCTAAAAATTAAACTGATAAAAATTTCAATTAGTATGAATAATACAAAACTCTTATTATCCTTATAGTTTAAATAAAAAGAGTTTTATCTATGTATTAGTCAGATCTAAGAATTTATAATATAATAAATTAATCAATTATCAAAGTGAAACGGCGGTATTTCATAAAGTTTAACAGTATTTGTTGACATCATTATGATATGGCTTGACCAAATCAATGAATAGAGATTGTTTGACGATATTTACTACTAAACACGACATTGTTATTTCTAGATGTTATTAAATTTCATTACACATCGCTAGCGGCGCTGATTGAGTATATTTGATAAAAGCAGAATTTATGCCAAATTTATGTGATATATAAATGTTAGCGTCTTTGTTGTGCAATTGAGCCACTCCAGTCGTACCTCAACTTATTGAGTCTGAGTACTGAGAGTAAAGTTTTGGTTGTCAAAGTTTTAATATAATAATAGTGCCATATATATACTGATAAATAAACTAATAATAAGTGCACAAATGGTCAAATTAAACACAATTATATTTAAATATGTACTTATTGTTGCAGCATCAAAAATTCTCAGACCGGTATAGACCTGTGGTCACTATCTGCATGTTTTATCATAATTGTCAATTTTAGCAGAATTACTAACAAAACTGTGTACACAAAACCACTCAAATGTCGGGGTCATTTCGTCTAATATGGCGCATCTGTCGAACACTTACCGAAGTACTAAGTATATAACAGAGAGCTGTGGTAGCTCAGTGGTTAACGCTCGCTGTAAATATAACAGCACGCGAGTAACCCGGGTTCGATCCCCGCCGGCACCAATGAAATTGTTAATTGCAATTTTAAGTGCTGATTTACCACTTTCTCGGCGGTGAAGGAAAACATCGTGAGGAAACCTGCATGTCCGAGGAATAAGAAAAAAAAATATTTCGAAGACTTGTGAATTTCGCCAACACGCATTTGGGCAGCGCGGCGGACACTTACTTGCCCTAAACCCTCTCAGAAATGAGGGGGAGGCCTGAGCCCAGCAGTGGGACGTATATAGGCTGTAACTTTACTTTACTTTACTTTAAGTATATAACAAGTATACGAAGTATATATACATATATATACTAAGTAAGTATATTAAAATCATATATCAAAGGAAACGTTATTAAATAAGCTATCAGATTATGCATAACAGATATATATGTTATGTTATTTCTAGATGTTATTAAATATATATATATATATTAAAAATATATATATTATATCTTATAATATATATATTATAAGATATAATATATATATATATATATATATATATATATATATATATATATAAATATATTATATCTTATATATGTTACAAATAGTTTGCTATCACTCGACGCCATATTATGGCATTTGACAGATGCGCATATTATTTGAGACGCCAGAATATGGTGTTTGGACAGACGAGGGGAATACTTTTATTAAGAGAGAAGGTCTTTAGTTGAATATGTTGTGTGTCTATCGGCATAGCAATATTTCACTAATTTCTTTTCGTATCAAGTCCGTTATAAGTAATTGAAGATTAAATGCACTATGAGATTTATATCCATAATTGATGAAATAGTTCGTGATACCGGTGATGCAGCCTTTTTACTTTAAATGAGATTTATAAAGCAGTTTGTCATACTTATATTAGGATAACTATTAAAATTTTTGTGAGAGTCCCGGTTGCATAGCTCACATGAGTAAATGAATATGTTCTTGTGAAAAAGTACTACCTATAAATATCAAAGAAAGCGAAATTTAAACAAGGGTTTATTTTAATTTTAACTATGAGTAGAACTGCACTGATAAAATCATGAAAGTCATCTGCATAAACCGGTAATCAAACTGATCTAAACTTAAATTTCATAGTTGATACGTAATCAACTCAAATTTGATCCGCGCCGACTCCACTCATATTTTAACTGCAATTTGAAGTTTCAATTTGCCACGTTCTCGGTGGTAAATAAAAACATCGCAGAAAATCTGCATACCTAAGAGATGTAAAAAATATATTTCGGAAAACATTTTTAAGTATAGATATGTGAAGTCGGTCATCCAGCGTTGGATTTAACTTAACTCCTTTTTGACCTAAAACTCGCTGTTGCCCGTGCCTAGTAGTAGGATGTATTTAGGCTACTACGTTTTAACTTTTAATATGACTTTCTACTGCTGTTCATAGTTCCCCCATTGTATGACAAATAAACCAATTATTTGAAGTAGTATTCACGCTTGGCAAGCGCGTTGGCAACCGCAGCCCTTTATCACTTTGCGCTGTTATAAAAAATATGCTACTCATCCCCTGTTTCAGTTTCCTTCTGTCGTCTATTAAGACACCCACGGGATGAAATGGGGTAGTGGTTTCGTTTTCGCCACCTCTACATGCCTAATATATTATTTCCATTCCCGTTCATCAATTGGATTTCCAATAGTTAATAAGTTGCCAACTTCAAATTGTTATTATTTTGAGCTATGATCAGGAAGACACTGCTGCCCATCTTATGCAGATTTTCACTCCTGTTCATGAATTTAATTCTTCTCACACGTTCTCCGTGAAGAGATCTACATTCATGAAATTTTGAAGTCTACTCGAACGTAAAAAATACTGGCATGTGGTGCTAATCAATGTTCAATGGGACCAATAATAATAAAGACCATGAAATTAAACCTTATTTTTATCAAGTCTATATCAAATTTAATAATGAACATTATTTAAATAACTCATTTCCGATTCCAAGACAATTTTCCTTAAATAAAGACACATCGGAAGCCTGATATAAAAAATGTATTGCTTGACGTATGGTATTTATGCGATTCTGATAAACTAACTTATGTGTTTCAGTAGCCTATAATATTGCCAATATAGACACAGATACCGACGTGTCTTTACAAGCGATCCAGTTTTGCTGATTTTAGTACGAAATAGTATTAACGATGTTTCTAAATTAAAGCCCACGCGAACGAGGCCGCGGGTAAAAAGCTAGTATCAAATAAGTCTTAAACCTAAGTAAAATTTTCTTCACTTCTTAAAGTCAAGTTACATACTTTTTACTTA